CTAGCCCGACGGGTACCCGCCGGTGGACCGCTGTGTCATTCCCGCGGCGCCGGCTGTAACAGGCCTGGGCTGTAATGGCTAGCGCTTACTGTCGCCGCATTGCTTACGGGAGGCCAGGCGCGCGCTACCGAGCGGGGGATCAATGTAAGCACGACGATCTGCAGGGGCCGCAGCGCAGGATCGTAAAAAATGGCCTAATAGCATACATAATAACACCTACATAAGACCTACAGCGCCCACCCCAAAATTTCCAGTATGAAATAAAAATACCAAAATCTTATCGATCCTGTCAATAGTAGAATAATTTGCACTGCTGACAGGAAAAATCCTGTCAACAGTGCAAATTATTCTGCTATTGACAGGACGATCCTGTCAGCAGTGCAATATTTTCTGCTATTGACAGGATGATCCTGTCAGCAGTGCAATATTTTCTGCTATTGACAGGACGATCCTGTCAATAGCCACAGGCAAAAACTAATCATCGAAAGTTGCACGCAGACTAGACTTGGACTGGCCCGGATGGCCGGTGGGAAGTGGTCACAAGAACGCTGTGGACTCACGTTGACCTCAGTAACACTGCGATATCGTCTCTATGTATCATGGAAGATAACAAGAGTCTTAAAATGAATGAGAAAGCAGGCGTTACCGTGATTTCTGGCTGTTCTCCGTCGTCAAAATCTTCCTCCATGCCGTTTGCCGCCATTTTGTGTACCGCACTGCTTCACGGGATACGTCAGGTCAAAGGTCCCACACATGTGTTTTTTCGGAAGGACACGACATATCCTCAGTTTTTTTTTTACAAAGATAGCGGAGTTTACTTCGATATTCCTATCGAACTGAATCTCAGCCGTACTGTTCAATGTCACAGTGAAGTGTGTAGGTATTGCAGAGATGTCTTTCTGCCTTGGGGAAATGGAGAGCTAAACATGTTAGAGTGGGGAGGGGGGCAGAATTATGGTGCAAGGCGAAAACTGTGATGAGCTAGCCAAATCCTAAAATATAAATGTCCTCGGATCAACTAGTATGCGTGAGGAAAGATACAAGTTCAATTTGAAGTAAGGACGTCTAGGTCTTGGAAGAATGAAGTCTCCTTAGCTTAGGGCAAGACTATACAAGAAATTTTCTATTGACAATATAATTATTATGATTTGTCTTTTTTTTTCTGTTGCAGGTATCTGTATCAGTGTACTCAGGATTCAACAGCTTCACAATTATGCTATCAGCATTACCATTGGTTAGGTCTGTTCTGAAGAGGACCAACCATATTGGTCTTACTAGATTTCTGTCACAGAACACTGCTAACTTGTGCAGATACCATTCTATAGCTTTGGTGTGTAGAAAACCAAACTCTTTCCGATTCCAAAACCTTCAAAACAGAAGTTGGCAAACTGGAGTGTTAAATCCCTCGTCAACATGCCTCGTCAAGAACTTCAACTTAAATGTTCCTCGAAGGAAGAACAGCGGCAAGAAAAACGAGGAGTATGACGTCGTCTACCGTTACCCACACATGCGACTCCTGGCGGCCATCTCGCGTTTCAAAATCGCACAGACCACGCTGATGGTGTTCATGGTCCCCATAACTGTCACCATGGCCGTGGAAGGCGACGCATCGTGGACCACAGCAAACACCGTCATCGGTTTTGGAATCTTCTCAACAGTCATGCTGTACGTAATGAGCAACTACCTGAGAAAATTCATCGGTTTCATCAGTATCAACCAATCAGGAGACACGGTCAGACTGTCGCACCTCAACTTCTGGGGACGGCGAGAGGAGATGTACGTTGATGTCAGCAATGTCGTACCGATGACAGAAACAGGGGACAGGCAAGGGGAGGTGTTTAGGAAGTTTAAGCTGTACGACTCCAGTCTAATCATGTATTACACCTTAAGGTTTGGTCAGATTGCTGACAAGGAAAAGTTGGGTAAAGTCTTGGGTCATTTGGAGTGATGCTATTCACTGTTTTTGTTAAACATGTTATAAATCTTCTGTCCATTTGCGATAATCTTCACTGCACCTGTTACCACCCTTAAGTACTGCCAGGTCACCTTTGCCTAGATGAACTAGCAAGTTATGTCTGAATGTTGTAAGTTACATTAATCAGAAAAATAGGTAATCAAAAATGCTGTATATACATATGATACGTAACCAAGAAACTCTGTGTGAAGCTTGACAATACATGCACTTACATAAACTGCACAGGTGTAACAGTGCTTACAATCTTGAAGGTTTTTGATACTGGTCAATGCTGTACTATTACCATTATTGTTTGATATGGTCATCAATGGGCGATAAATAAGGCACTGCTAGCCTGTCCAATCTTTGTCTTGCATTATTCAACATTTATATCATTGCTTCCATTGCCATTAACACATCATCAAGAGATCTTCTAGAAGCAATTCCAGAACATGGTGCAAATCAACTGAAAAGTATTTAATCACAACACATACATACACAAATGCAATATCAAAATTCCAGGCATTATCCTGCTAAGCTTATAAGGTCATAAAACAGAATTGCAGAGAAAGAGACTGGTTTTCAGACCATACAAAATAGTTTACCAGTCAAATTTTCAAAGGAACCTAAGTCTTACCAAGGTTATCCTTAAGTACTCTATTTTGAATTGACCTCTTTTGAGCAAATAGGTAGCAAGAAGTAGTCTTAAAGAGGCCACACGACTGGTCACAGTTGCACCTGTCACTTACGCCACCTACCGAAGTGTGATGGTACGTCAAACGCATAAAGTTTTTCCCACGACCGGCTCTAATAGCCAATATTCCCATTTGCTGGGCATTTTTTAATTAGCTTTTTCATAAAAAATAAACGTCGTTAGAAAGAGAAAGAAAGTGACTTGAGACAGAGAGATGTCATTGTTTCATCTACTGATCTAGGATCTACGGAGATTTTGCAAATAAAAGAGCGCCCACATGTCTGGCGCAGGCGGCCTCCACACCCGGATCGGATCAGATCGGAACGTCCGCCAGTAATCCAGTACACACGACCAGTACACACGCCCCCGCATACACGGCATAGTCATATTTCGAACTGTCAAGCAATGAAGCATATACATTTATCTTGTTTGTCACGCTGAGACTCAGGTTGTAGCGATGGTTAGGCCAGGCAGATGACACAGGTGGGGGCCTGCATGCCCTTTTTCGTAAGGCGTAATCAAGCCAAGTTTAATCCGAAGGCAGCCTCCCTAAAAATGAACGTAAATCGTAATCGGCGACGAAAATTTTGTGTAATTCGTAATCGCTAACCCCCCCCCCCCCAACACCACCATTGACAATAGGCCACCGTGCCACAAGACAGATATAAATGGAAAAGTTGATATGGTATTGTCAACTCCACATTGGAAATGGTACGTAGAATACTAGTAGTAGTCCCTATGGATCCAAAAAACTTCTAGGGACTATACAGCATTCTTAGTAACTTTACAGAGGTTTACCAGCTCTGTGACGCAGCAGTGCATAATCTCTCTTGTGGGAAAAGTATGGGCTTCATTTGTCTATTCTTAGATATATTTCTACTTCACTGATCACAAATGAGTCGACGCTCAAGATTACAAAATGTAGATTCGAGTCAACCAGCCAGCGTAGAGCTGTTTATGTCTAGATGACGTCAATGCCCCAGAGGACGTTCCGTTGAATCAACTCTGAGCCAAAGCAGTTTGCTGAGCAGGCATATATTTATGATATTACTGGTTATATGCAAGCAGACCAAGCAGAGGTTGGAGAGTGAGATCGATCATTACATTCGAGATGTGATTACAACGCTCTTTCTGATAGTCGACCCTCAGCTGCAAGTTGGAGAGTCGTTTATGGGAATCAAGTTTTGATTCGCTGTATCAGACAACAAGATTTATGATATATAACATTACGAAATGAGCTTGACATCAATATATGTTTGTGAATATGCTCAGCGAAATGCCTTGTCAAGAACTATTTTGTAAAAAGGCTTCTGTGAAACCAAGGACATTATTTATACTGTCCTTGGTAATTCAAGCACAAGCAGATACTTTGAACAAGGAGGTATAGAGAAGACGGGCGATGGCCATCGTCGTCATCACTCATCATCATAATTGTGTTTTGTGCAAACAACGAAAAAAGAAAACCTCAATAGAAGAAAATATGTCGCTGTCGACTGTCACTGCCATTTTACTTAGTAGCATAGCGTGAGCGTGTGACAATTACTCGTCCGTCTCGTCGCCAGTGTTTCCCTAACACCAAACTGTCCACGGTCTTGTTTATACTTCACAAGACGTGTCTTAGTTTTTGTAGTGGACTGAAAAACAAAACGGCCCACTGATCACCCTGGGAACGGGACACCAATCTTGTTACCAGGGTGTCTGTCACCTGGAAAGATATGACGGAGGTCAAGTGGACAATGGTTACGGTTTACTGAAACAATGAACCTTCCCCGAGACATAAATTTTCTCCAGCTTTCTCTCGGCTATCGTTCAAGTGCAGCACAGTAAACAAAGTGACAGGGAGGATTAAGAACCCGCTTCACATTCGTGACACACACGAAGAAATAAAAGGGAGGCACTCTCAAGGAACGACAGTTCGTTTATTTTTGTAATCCTTGTTACTGTTCAATCTTGGAACGGCCATAGAGCCCTGTCAGACCCGGTTAACGACAGATGGTAGACAATGGGAGAATTCATGCGGAATTTGTTGAGCAAACAACTTACACTTTTGTGATGTTCCTTTCCGAGGAATCTTTAATAACAAAACTATTTCTTCTAAGAATGAGTACAAAATCATGTTGTTTGTGGACAAATATTTCAGTGTAATATGGTTCAATAGATGGGAAAGTTCGTACAGGCGAAGCGATCCAAAGTCTGAGAAGATGCTGACACATGATACAAACAGGTTGACATGTGAAGATAGGACACGTACACTACGGTACAGTCAAAACAGAGATATGTCCGGGGGGGGGGGCTGATTTTGTCATATTGGAAAAAAACAGTTCCGCTATTTTTTTAAAGAGTAAACTGTAAGGATAGCTCAATAAACACAGGAACAGAAAGAAACTTTAAGAAAGGGACGCCCAGCAAGGAACACCTTACGACACTAGTAAGGAATATGTGACTCTTTGAACATATGATTTCAGCATTTATCCCTGAAAGAAGGTGGCCAAAGTCGTCTGTTTGTCTTCTCTGACTGACGACAAACGTGATGATTAGAACGTTCGCACACGTTATTATCGTTTCTCTTTAGATAAGCACCAAGTGGCTCAAATTAAGCTGAAGTTCGGCGTGCCCGTGCGCCGATAGCCGAGGTGACGGAGTGATGAACGTAGGTTTAACGGACTGTGGCACCGAAATGGGGGTCTGGCATGCCTCACCAGATAAGACGTGTACAGTGACGTCTTATATCTTAACTTGTTGCGTGCCAGATGGCCTGTAAGTCCGGGATTGTTTCAGTAGAGCTATTGCCTTCAAGGATATTGTTGCTTGCGAGGGGGATTGTTTTGGACTCACTATTGAAGTGCATTGAGAGAGATCCGCTAACCCCTCGACATGGCTCGCTATTACATTGGTACTGACAGGGAGTCGTAGGAGACATTCTGTGTACGCGGGGAATGTTCCAGGCCTTGCCCGGAATGTCACGACTGTCCAGAATCTTCCTCAGTTTTCCATCCACATACTACATCGCTTAGCATTGTCGGCTGACCTGAAGCCTTGGAGCAAGCCTCTAGCAGCTCCTATCCCAGGTTACGTTATTCTAGTACGTGGAAGATTGAAATACTCAATGACAGGTGTCGACAAATGTACACAAAATAAAGTAACGAAAGTACTTGTACGGCATTTTATAATTTAGGAAGAAAAATAGATACTCGCCAAAAAAATCTTGTGACGACCCCCTAGGATGACTTGTGGTTCGACCTTTATCAGATACCGTAGGTCAGACACATGTACAGATATATACGTTTGAATGAATGTTCACCCTGAAGCAAGCTTGCTACAAATCCTGTCCTGACCAATAAACCATCTTTACTATCCAAGCACAGATATATAGGTCGGCTCATGTAGAGGACTCTCAAGTTGATAGCTTATAACTGAATCGACAACTTCCTACTTCTACTAAGTTGTAAAACGAAGAACAACAAGTGGCGTGATGTGTCTCCAATCATGATTTTCATTTGAACCTAGGCAAATATATTATATGTCAAGGTTGTATCTCACTTATGGAATTTGCACTCCAATATAGGACCTGTCCCACCTACGTACTGTAATCCAAAAGGCAGATGATATTGGGTTTTCTAAGAAAAAGGAGGCAGTGACAGTGAGGAAACGGCTTAAAATGTAGTCGTTTTTGTAGATTATATGAAACAGAGAGGGAATGTCCTTCGCAGTTTCCGACACAAAGTTACCAGTTTCGAATTCACACACACAGTGTTAACAACATATCAAGCACGTCCCCGCGTTTGTTGAACAAAAAAAGCCTAGATCACAAACGTATGTTTACTGCGACCTTGTGATGTTCAAGAGCCTCTGTGATGAAATTGTGTTTCCTTCTGAAAGGAAGCTCAGATAAAAGACCGGTGGTGGTCTCCTAGCACCAATTTTCTCTTCCATCAAGAGGCCTTAATGAGACGTCACCAACGCCATGGCCACCTGGGCTGTTCACCTTCACGTGGACACAATGGACCACAAAATAACCGCCGCCCCCCTCCCCATCTCCCACTACCAGCTGCTGGTATCCTTTGTTTGGGCCCAAATAACGCCAGGACCATGACATCGGAGCTGAAGGGACCAAACTGTTCTTGACCATAAGAAGGACTACTTATAGTCCCCGTGTATGGGGTGCTTTCATATTAGAAGTGCCCTGTCAAACAATCGCGGGTAACCCCTGGCGTATTTAACGGACGTTCTTTTCAGTAGAGAAGGAACGCCTTTTTAATTTGACTACGTGCACCTGTACCGTTTGTGGGAATAAGTGGGGCAAACGCGCACTCCTGACGGTTTCTTAGACACAGATCATTCTAAAGGA